GTTGTGTGAAAGTAAACTAAACTCTACACAGACTTACGTACTATGAAGACATACTGTACATTGAACTAGAAGGATGAGTAGCATTTATTTTTGTACTGCCTGTTCCACTTATAAATGACATTAATGGGCTTACAGTAAACACCATACAGATGAAAGCAGGAATCCTGATGTTTGTAATTGTAATTTTTTGTAAATCATACAGGAACTCCTTAGAAAACTAGCAGACCAGGATGGTGAGAATGATAGATCTTATGTGCACAACTGGTTTCACTTCCTGCAGATGTGATGCCTCTGCCATCCCACTGCAGTTGTAAAAGCCAAGGCCAAGAATGTTTCCACTATTAGCAGGGATTACTTCTCTACTGTATACTGTGTCCATTTTGTCTTCTCTTTTTCTGTTACAATTTGAAACAGATTTGCACAAGATAATGCCATTCATGATAGGTTTGTTCGTGAGGTAATAAAAACAAAGACACTCAAAAGCAGTTTGCAAGTATGTTCTAAGGGTTTCAATGCAAATGAGTATACAGTATGTGACTGTTAGGACTATTTCATTTCTTACATCCTTCATATCATATTATATACATTTTGTTTTATTCTTAGGATGTTGTTAGCAAAAAAAGGCCCCTGTAAACCAGATTCTGCAGAATTGGTAAGGGTCTGAACCCCATGTCCCAGAAATGAGAACTTCTAGTTTTAATTCCTGAGCAGCTCATATACTATCAGCTTTTTAAGTTCAGGCTTTCATTTGAAACTCTCATAAAAACAGAATGATTATGGCTCTACAGGACCAAAGTAGAAGACAGCTGTCATAATATGCAGCCATTAAAGAACACACAAACCTACTTTTACTGACTGCCATATCTCAAAATCTATGCAAGGCTCGGACTTGTCAACAGGTTGCTGTTGTACAGTAAGTGGTGTTTCTGTGCAAATAGGTGGTACTCTTCTCTATGGACCAGAATGTCCTTACCAATATTCCATTATGTTAACAGGACACAGTGTTATAGGATGTGCTGTCCTTCAGATATAACATTGAACCTGACTACTTCATTACATTCCCTAGGCACTGTTTGTAAGAGCTGAACTATTAACCCCATTGTCCTGGATAAATTTAATCTCGGGCCTACACAATCAGGAATTCCTGATCGTTCCCCATAATTTAATCAGAAGAGCAATTTCTCTCTTTTCCATTTGATCTACTGTGTGGTGCGCTTGTCTGTGCCTAAGGAATGCTGCACCTCAGGGGTGGATGAAAAGCATCCTATATGTAAAGGGGTTTGAGGGCTTTTGGGATGAAAAAGTCTGTATACAGGTAAATGTAATTTATAATCATGGCTATTAGGTGACAGCAATCTGTTATTGCAAGAGCCACAGCTATTTTTAAACCCCACTTCCCAATTTTGAGTAGCCATATATGAGTCTCTAATCACTACAGAAGAAATGAGGACTATGCACATTCTCCTCCATCTGTCAAACCATCTGACATTTTCTTCCCCCATACTGAAATCCTCAAACTACAGTAACTATCAAACTGAGGTAGTGATGACAGTCTCACTTACACAACATTGTAAGATCTCAAGCATCTGTGGAAAAACACAGGAGGTACTGTTGTACAACAAGCACAGAATACCGAGGCCAAATCCAGCCCACACAAATGGGACTGCTGTTTGGGAGGATATGGGGGGCAGAAGTTTAACCTGGAACCACCAGCCTCCAGACCATAGGACTCAACTTGCTCTCAGAATAAGTGCCTATACTGGCAGAAGAAAGTAGGAAACCCATTTTGTTCTTAATTTTACACAGGATTGGGGAGACATTACTTCACTCTTCATCACATCTATCACAAGGTCCCATTCAGATTTTATGTTGTTGTTTTCAACAAAGAAGAATTATACATAGCAAATATATTTCTCTGCTGTTTATGTGTCAGGAACAAGTCAAGAGAAGAGAGGGAAAATATAATAACTTACAGAAGGTTAGGTTGCACAGGAAACAGATGAACACAAAATATAATGGTATGTCTTGGAAATATCTATAAATTAAAGCCATTTAAGGGAAGTATTAACTCTGCTATCTTTGGTACTGTAGGCTCAGATACAGTACATGTCAGGAAATTCATCCATTCTAACTTCTTTATCCATTACAGGATCACTGGGGACCAAGAATTTATCTTGGCAAGCAATGGTCGCAAGTGGACAGGACTCCAGTCCATCACAGGGCACAAGCAGGCCCAGGCATGCAACCATTCACACCAGGGCCAGATTTCCCACAAGCTCATTAAAATAGCAGTAGGTCTTTGAGCTCTAGGAGGAAACCAGTGCATCCAGAGAAAGCCCATGCAAACATGTGGAGAACAGACAAACTCCACACAAGATAGCACTCTAGGAATTTGAACCAGGTGCCCCAGTACTGCTAACAGCAATACTAACCACTGTGTCACCATGTCACCCAGGTCAAGAAATCACTGGCCTCATAGCAGCAAATGTTTAACACATGTCCTTTAATTTTCTAAAGAATGTCTTCACTTCCTGATTCTACAACATGAAGGTCATAGCAGTAACTTGGAATATGGCCTAAGTTAGTCCCCCTAATTTAAATCAATATGATTACATTACAGTCACAAAAGCATTCAGTATAAGATGGGGGATTGCAAACACCAGGGGAAAACAAAATGTATCATCTTCAGCACCATCATTACTGATAATGCAATTCTGACATATGCAGACCAATACACTCGAGACTTTATTGGAACCAACAAAACTACCACTCCTGATTGCTAATGATCTGGTAGTGCATTGCAGCATTGCCAGACTGGGCATATTGATTGAGCACATGAAATTAAGCCATTGCCTACCGTACAGTATAATTTAGGATTTTATTGATGTGATTTTTTATAATTGAAATAAGATGACTACTCATTTGTTATTCTACCTTAATCTCAGTTTGTAACACTCCAAGGAGCAAACAGAGTGGATTTATTTACTGTAGGTCCTCTCTTCTTTCCTGTTCCCAGCCCACTAAAGAGACTTGTTTCTCTCCAGACTGATTCCTAAACTGCTCGCACAGATCCTATTGCAAAACCTACACTCCCACAGTTTCCCCTGTGCTGCATCATTACAATGCCCTGATCTAACCATTCACCCCCACTAGAAACTACCCACCTTGGAAAGCCTGACAAGCTACATTTAGATTAATCTGTATTATCACGGCAGAGAACAAAGCAGTCACTGGATCCTTCTGCACTGCACAAGCTCAATTAAACCTGAAAAGTGTCTGATGACATAAAGTAATGAGATTAAACAGGTCTGTTCCCTAGCTTTTTCACTCAATGCCACTGTAAAAATTGTATTTTTGGGGAAAAGCTATCCTAAGGTTTTCTGAAGCCATGAAAATGCCCATAATGAATGTTCAGTAATATTACTACTGTATATTGACTTTTTCAGGGAACAGGATGGCATATGGCTCACTGACCACTTGTTCTTTGACGTATTAATGGCAATAGTAATTCAGCAGGCAGGGACTGATTTTTTATGGGCACTTTCATTTGGATTAAAGCAGAAGGGCAGACAAATCCCTAATCCACAACTGTTAGCATGATTCTCTTTTTCAATCCTCTGCACTAAACAGACAGGAAAGCACCAAATACAACATTTTAAGGAAAACAGACCAAAAATAAAATGAAACAAATGTAGTTATATTTACAGAGTTATGCGATTCCTAGTTAATGCTGGGATCTAAACTATGTTATTTTTCCTTGGACATATAAAAATAATAAATTTTAGTGAGCTCATCCACAATTCCGGATTGAATACGGTTTGGTACATCATTGCCATAATCCCTACAGTCATTACAGATTATTACGTGTATTGCTCATAAAGACAAGGAAACTGAACTGTTTGCTCTGCACGTCTACGGGATGAAAATTTAGCACTTGCTCTGGTTTTGGATTTGCAGCAGCCAGGAATAATTCATTCAGCATTCTCAGAATACAAAGGCTATTTTTAAAATTTGGAAATGTAGCTTTCATAACAACAGTTACTAAGAATAACAGCAGGTGTCAAGAGCTAAAACTGTAAAACTGAGATTATAAAATGAAATGAAACGAACTAAGTCATTTACATGGAAATGACAAATATTAACCATACAACATAATTCTGTACATTATTTCTTCACAGAAAAAAACTGAACTAATGTAGATATTTATTATATATTTTCAAAGAGTAAGTTGGTAAAGCACATCGTCTCTAATGTAATTGAGAGAAACAATACGGCATTGTGTTTTGAATACAAAACTATTCAGAAATAACGCTTTAAATCGTAAGGCAAAGATATGGTGTACCTTAAACACAGCTTTCAGAAGAAAATGCAAGTACACTGGGAACAAAAAATGACAACTGAACAATAATTAACAGCTATAATTCCACCTAAGGCAGTAAATGTCATATCAAAACTCTTTAACTTGCTCTTAGTTTGACACTTATGTGCGAGGCTTCCTTGGTGTACTCGCTGAAACCACAAAATATGCGCATGACCGACAATAAATTAGCGCCTGGTAAGCGTTTCTTTTGATGCTAAAGAACATTTGTTTTTACATCACTAACACAAGGCATGACTATTAAAAGTGAGAACACGGTCTATTTCTGGGTTATTGGAAATCGCAATATACTGTACTGTGCTTTAGCCACGTTTTATACTAGAATCCTATATTGGGGCTCAAAATAGGCAATTTAGTATTACACATCGTATAAAATGCATCTAACGCTAGACTTAAAAAAATGTAATTTCCCCTGTGGTGATTTCCTTTTCAATGTGTTTACATGGTCACAAAGCAGTATAAGGCTATTTCCCGTTGTTTAATCCATCGGAGCTACAGCTGATCATCAATTTCCAAAACTTTATTTTGGTTCGTGAATGTTGTTTTTCAACCTTTAGCACGTCGTGCCGATTCGCCCGTTTAGCATCGCATGGCTCTAAGGGTAAACAAAAATACATCTTACCAGATATGCAAACGATGAAATTTGCTTGAAGAATAAAAAATATTTCCCAAAGAATTTCCATTCTCCGCTTTTCATTCCAGGTACATCACGCATTAAAAAGGGGGATCAATTGCACAGTTTAAGTTCTCCCAGCAAACCGCCCGCTTCACTTGTTCCTGACGGTATTTCCCAGCTATGAGCAAACATCGAATTTTATGTCAAAGACATGCAGTTCACCCCCAAATCCTAACAATCCAAGCGACCGGACTCCAAACCAAAGCAAATGAAAATGCAAATATCCGCAGAACAAACAGGAATGATTACTCCTTAATACAAAGAAACAACCCGTTTCCTGCTTTCCCAGCAGATTAGTGATCCTCCCCCTACACCTTCATACTGGCAGGTGTCTTCTATCCTGAAACGAAAGGAGGAAACGAAAAATGAGAGTGAAGGTATTAACTACTAAAACACAACTTCATTTGCAAGCATCCAATTTAGCACGCAGGTCAGCCTACCAGACTCATCTTGACGACGAACTCTATCGGACTGTAGACTGTATTAAACTGCAAGGGGGCGTGCTTCGCTCACACACAGTCGATTTTACCTGGCTGTGTGGGTTTGAATACGTGTTGGAGAGTGCATGACTTCACTGGGCTACAGTATATATGTAATTAAACACAGAAAAAGAGAACGAAGCAGATAAGGAGCAAATGTAAAAGAGGACGAATGAGAAGCTTGCTGGTTGCAGTAGAATAACTTTAAATTTCTCATTAAGCACTTTGCGCCATCGAGTAGAAGGTTTAAATTGTTTTGCAGAACTGGTAATCGAATTAACACATGGAAATATCAAAGCTGCGTTACAAGGAAAATGACAGGACTAGATCATGAATTCATAAAAATCTTCTTTACGGGTCTTACAAAGTGTTGGGTGTTTATAAATTCTCCACGGGTGTTGTTTGTTAAAAATTAACAAAGGGTATGAAATGAAGTCGTTCTTCAAACATGACCACTTCATATAAATATAATAACTGAAGACATGACACCACATACAGTACGAATAACGAGAATAAACCAGAGGCGAGGCTTTCTGGATGAATGGATAGTCACCAGAGCGAGTGCTTTTAAAAGATTAAAACTCAATAGGTAACTTAAAATGCTTTGTTAAAGATGCGTTCACGTTTATCTATTGCACTGGGAAATAAACGATATTTAAAAGAAATGTCTTGTTCCTGGCAAATAACACCTTACTCGGGTTTTTTTTTTACCAAACATGTTATTATTCCACGGTGTTCTCAGACCATATACAGCTCCGCAATGTGGTACTGTACAGTATATACATTTTACAACTGCCGGCCTCTGACCCCTTCTGATCTTCAAGACGACACTTCACTCAGGCGACCCACAGTAAAGCAAACGGAGCGAAACGCACTTTGTCTTTGCCCTGTTCAACCCTTTCGATGCGCTGGAGAGCTGCACTTACCGTAAATGAAAAATGTCCCAGAACGAAGGCAACTACGCCGGTGGACTGTTCGTGATACAAAAAAAAAATCGCTTGTTGAAGTGGGGTTTTTTTTAAGACAACAAGATAATGTATTCTTGTATTTTCCTCCAGTTCGATACTGTTGGAGTTGCAGCTTAGCTGCGATCTGCTGCTTTGGGATACCGCTGACTCTGAGCTCCCAGCTGCCAAAGATTAGCAGCTTTAGCGCGCGCGATGCTGCGCGTTCACGCTGTATACGCGCTGTGGATAGAGCCTCGTCTTCTGCTTACTAAACACCCTTAAAGTCTCCAGATCAACACAGGACATTTCCGTCTTCTCCGTAAATTATTCACTGTGCATCCGGAATGACCCCGTTCAGCCTAGACCGTTAACTAAGAAAACGTGGATTTTTTGTTAAACAGAGCCCAGTCCATCTGTCCTACTTCCGCTGACAAAAATAATCTTTCTCTGATGAATCACCCATTACAAGAAGCATTTTGTGATGATGATGATGATAATAATAATAATAATACACAATTTCCATTAATAATGTACCTTTGGTATATAACACTGGAAATGTAATTTACTTGTATTCTAAAAATATACTGTATATGGTTTATATGATACAATGATAAAACATATTGATGGTAAAATCAGACAAGTGGATTTATTTATGGCCGGAAGCTGGAAAGATGGGTCGGGCTCTTTAAAACAAAAGTTTGGTAAGTTGCTCAACGGAAAATAGGCGCATTCCATGATGCACAGCGAATAACAGCATTCGGCATTAGCGAGAAGGAGGATGTGATGATGATGATTGTTGTTATTGTTTTTACCAGGACTCGGATACTGTTCATACAGCTGTAAATTAATTAACCTATGTAAACCTGGGTTCAGTATCACATGTAACTTTTCTTTTGAGCCTTGTTTTCATGTACAGGTATACACTTTATCGCTGTATCCGTTTAAAACTGCCAGGGGGTATTGTGCGGCACTAATATATAAGTCCATCTTGATTATAATAAACCCTTTTTTTATTTCTAGGTTTTGCGTCATTTTCTGTCATTCAGTGCCTGTGTGACACTAACATGTTTAAATGTGAGAACAGTGTTTTCAGAGTTTTGGGGAAAGGAAAATAGGAGACATCTGAATTTTGCAAACAGGTGTTAGAGAAGCGCAGTATATTTACTGCTTTGGGATTCTACTATATGGAGTGTTGATTATTCTAATTTTACGTCTCCCGGACATGATGATATTTATCTTTCAAGCTGCGTCCTTTTGTAGCAATTATGGAACTCCTGCTCCTCTAAAAAGACATCGGGAGGCACGATTATCGATACGAAATACTGTTCACCTTCCGTCTACAATACCGCACTATCAAAGCATTCCACGAATGGTCCGTTTAAACGAACCCTTTAGTGCTTATATCATAATTAGGAGTTATCGTTACTCAGCAGGATTTTTTTTCTAGGGTTTTTTTCTTGAGTTGTCCGATTTGCGCTCCCGAACTGTTTCGGGCAGCAAAGCCCAGAGTTGAATGTGATTTTATAAACAGATTTTATAGACTCACATGAAACGTAATGCACTGTATGGTAAAAAAGCTGCGTTGCTCTGTTGCATATCTATTGAGGCGTTTTGTGTGGTATTCAGGGTGCGTGAGAACGACAGGAACAATAGAAGGTACTGTAAATACATGTTCATAGTAGCCCACAATGCTACCGGTTCAAAGCAATATAAAGGTTTTTAGCTAGTTGTTCCCGAAGTTATCATCCAGCTACAGAGATGCAGCCGGTATGGATGCACTTTCAACTCATGCCAAGACACATAAACATTTTATACTACAATTATGTTATAATAACGATCATTTCGTTTTATTTATACCTCTAATATCGAACGTTTGTTCCATTCAACATGCTTTCGTAACATTTTTTGTCATCCGTTTGATGACGAAAGAATTCGTTTCAGGCCAGGGTTACTGTACAGTAGCTCTCGTTTTGCTTGCATGGATATAAAATTAAATTAAAACTCTTTTGTTTTACTGATTGGACGTACATGAGCGACTGCGTAAAGTTCTATAGGAATTTTAACTGCTGTATTTAAAGAACAAAATACAATGGGGAAAAGAGGAAGAAGAAAGTCAGCGGCATTAAAAAATAATCAAGTGTCGTCAGCACAGTACTTAATGTCTTACTACTTTATGCAGTCCACACAAACGTAAACAGTGGTGCTCGAGAGAGAAAAATCGAGAGCAATCTGAATAATCAGCCAAACTGACTACAGTACGTACGTTTTTTGGTTAAAAACAACGAAGAGGTCGAGCTTGAAACTTGGTAAACCTGGCTCACCGCTTCTGACAGACGGTGCTGCTCTCAAGTGCGGAAAGGGAGGAGCAGGCGCAACACACCGCGATGATGAATTCTCCACACCAGTCTCGTACTGTAGATCTCCTGCATCCCTAGGCAGTGAACAAGGGTCACGTGAAGCTTATCTGCCTGACAGACGACATTTTACTGAAAATATAGCAGATGAGCAAATAAAGCAGTACTTTATATCATATCAAGGGGCTCTTGACATTTGCCCAAAGCGTTATTGTACTGCTTTAAGTAGAGTCCAATGTTTAAGTTCTGCATCCAGGTAATGTCTGTGTTCCCCCAAATCTTCTTTGTCAGTTAGGCTTTCATGGGTCCTCCTGACTATAGCTTATAAATACCCCTCCCTTGGGGAACAGTCAGAAATGAACAGCTTTGGGGGTGATTAGCAAACTGTATGCAGATGGCCAGGTATCATGGACCTTTGTCTCCTCTTTGTTGTCTTCCTATGACAGCACAATGTCAGGGTAGTGGGGCACAGAAACATTTTTGCTCCTGATCCCTGATAGTCAAGTTCCACCACTGCAACCCACTATTTAATAATAAAACAAAGGTATTAAATTCATCAACAAGGCTGGGTAGCTTGTTCAAGCATTTGTGTAAAAAAGTGCCCACTGTTATCAATTTGACATGCATTTAAAAGGAATTAACTTGCTTTTCAGTGCTTTCCAAAAAAGATCTTCCTTATTTCATAAGAACATGTAGAGTCCAATGGATTGAGTTTGTCAAAGTCTGTGAGAAGTTTGAATATTTTTAGATACTGCTATTATTTGGAAAATGTTCAAGACTAACTAGTACATGTAACTGTCAAGGTGTACTGTACCTTGTCATATTCATACATCACTCAAAATTTCCCCCTAGAAAATGTCATTTTATAAAACCAATTCAGAATGACATCATAATCGGGATCTGAGAGGAAACGATTATATTTATTTGTACAATTAGTTTTGAATGGGATGTGAGGTAGTGCTAAGAGATTTACTGGACATTAAAAATAATTTAAGATATTGGCTCTGTTGATTATTGCATCTTATACATTATATTGTAATTGTATACTGTAATTGTAATGTGATATGACAATATTTCCCCATAATTTAAATATTGCTGCCAATAGTAGAATTCAGATGCCTGACTACAATGAAATAGGAACACAATGTTTCAGCTGTGGAGCCTTCTTCGTGTGTGTTTTTTGCCTTTTCTCTTTCCAGCATGGAATAAACCTTTACTTGTTCCTTTGCAGCCTACACATGCTGACGCAGCTACTGTACCTACTTGAACTACAGTGAAATAGGTCTATCTGATCCCTGAGCTTATTCACTCAGAGCTGGACATTCCCTGAAGATCCAACATTCAGCTAGTCTTATAGGTCAACTGTTTCTAAAGATTGACAGCACATGAATATTTAAGAATTTAGTGAGTAGTGAGCTCAATTAAAAGAACTCTTAAGTGTATTGAGATTTTTTTCCCAAATGATCTGTAAATCGCTTAATTTAACAAATTACCTGTTTAATTGATCAGAATGAAAGTGTTCTAGAGCTTCTGAAATTGATTTAGGTCGTAAAATAAGGAGACTATTGAATCAAATAAGAATCAGATCCTGACACCAGCTGGCTATGCAACCAAATAATACAGATGAATAATTTCACACCGTACAGTTGGGGAATACTGAGTACAAATACTAATATTTAATAACAATAAATAATTATTCAACATACAGTATATAACAGTTACACTATAAATAGATATTTACAATTCTGTGTATTCCAGGGCTTTATTTTCTACACAGAAGTCTACCCGTAGACTCCAAATGCTAAACATTTTATGAAGCAAAGAGGGGAACCCACATCCTGTTAAATAAAATGGATCTTAACCAGGACCTAACCTCCTTCTTTAATTCACAAGAGACGTTATTAGCCTCAGGATTCCACAATATAAGAAATCAGAATTTCCTCAGTCTCAGAGTCCAGTACTCCTTCAGTGTTTAGTCAAACTAGGCAGCATCTAGTTTCAAGTCTGAAGAAAGAGACACTCATGTTTCAGGCATCTGATAATGATTCTGTCATTGATTTATCTTCCCTGTCTAGTTGGTTCCTCTTTTATCCTCATGAAGACTGGTATAATGACCTTAATAGGAATCGTCCAGTTACTGTTGAATATTGTCATCAGTAATTGCTGACAATATTCTTAATTACTGCTATTAGGTATTAATATAGCCGATGTAATGATATTAAAGTGTCTTCTTTTAGCGTGACTTAATTATTAGGAACACTCCTCTGATCATCTGTCTCATGTGAAAAAAAAACAACCTCTGTAAATCTAGCGAAACAGTAGCCATTGTTTCAAACTCTTAGAATTATGACAATTTGCTGTAAACTACAAATGTTTAGCTAAACATAATTTAATAAGCTTAATTTATTGGTGAAAAACCATTTTTCAACAAACACTTTTCAAATGAAGGGTGTCAGTACCTAGGACTGTTGATTGTGGTCTTGTAAACACTATTCAGTTTAACAGCTTTACAATGAGCAAAGGGTTTGATTGAAATTGATCTGATCTCAAGGGGCATGCCAACATCAATTAAAAATGTGCTTCCTAAAATTAGAACCCACCACAGAATCCAATTACTCCAAAGGAATCAAATTTTTTGATAAAAAACAGATAACAAAGCTTTGAATAATCCAGGTATCTATTAATAACTGTATATTGTATATAGAATTAATATTTTAAGAGGGCCACCACAAGATACTTAAGCAAAACCGTTCAGAAGACTAGGCCTGTTTTTTTACATTAATTCTCTGGATACACGGTGACCTTGGAGACCAGAAAACAAAGGTGTTACGTTATGGTGTTACTGCAGTATGAGCCCCATTTCTTCATGCATTAAAATCATGAGATTGCATTTGAATGACTCCCCTGAGTAAGATGTGCTTTACAGTGTCTATTTTTATATACAAATAATCAGGAAT